ATTTCCTTGCTTTGTGCACTAAGAAAAAAATAATGCTTTCAGTGAAAACCATGTGTTTGCATAACTTCAGCTGCAGCTCTTCACAAGACCTGCTGCAGACCAGCGCATATGAGATCCCATCAGAACATGTACACTTCAGTTCTGCATTATTATTCAGACATCACTGTGCTAAAATTCTCTGAGCATATCCACAATTCTGAGATAAGACACCTTTTGTATTCTCTCTTTTCTTAAATACCTGCTGTCACCTACTTCCTGAAGCAACATAATGTGTTAACAAATTATTAATCTATGCATATGTATGGTAGGTACTGCTTTGTAACATCACTAAAAACGCCTGTAAAATTTTATGCTGGTGCCAGTTTCCAAGTGTTTCACTACCTCTTTATGCTCTTATTGGACAACTGAGTAGAAGTAGTGCAAGTCCTTCATACTTGGTGTTTCTGAACAGATGAGACAAGCCTCAGGGCTGTAATGACAGCAAAATCCCCTTAGACAGGACACAGCCCCCACACAGTGCCTGGGATGGGAGTCAGGGAAGTCATGAAACCAATAGGACTGGGTCTGGGTTTTTTCTGTCTCATGAAGACCCCATCCTAAACCAAAGGTTTTCTTGGCCTACACCCACCTCCTGCCTGGCTGCTCTGAAGGTGAGGAGGCTGTTCAATAATGGTTTCACTCTGCCTTAGCATAAATAATCCCAGAATATTTGGGGTTGGAAAGGTTCTTTAAAGCTCATCCAGTCCCACCCCGTGCCACAGGCAGGGGCACTTTCCACTAGCCCATGTTTCTCCAAGACCTGTCCAACCTGGCCTTGAGCATTTCCAGGGATGGTTCAACCACAGCTTCTCTGGGCAGTCTCTGACAGGGCCTCTCCATCCTGACATGGAACAATTTCTTCCTAATGTCTAATCTAACCCTGCCCTCTCTCAGTTTGAAGCCACTGCCCCTTGTCCTGTCACTCACCTGATGCTCTACTGAATGGATGAAGTTCCTGTGGTCCCTCTAGAGAGACCCATCCCTAGATCAAACAGGAGTGCCTGAGGAGTTGGAATAGATGAACTCTAAAGGTCCCTTCCAGCACAAAGTATTCTATGATTCTGTGACATAATGAACATGAGTTTCAGCAGCAGCAGGATGGGAGGTAACCGTGATCACCCCGCAGCCTCTGTGACTCTGAATGCTCTGGAATGTGCTGGGATCCACTGGGTGTGAAGCTGGAGGCAGGTTAGTGCAAGTGACTCAACAGGTCACCTCGTCTTTTTGCCATGCCAGCTGCAGTGAGCTGGCTTCATTTCTGCCAGGAAATGTGGAAACCCAGGGCAGAGGAGCGCTGCCAGCTCACACATAAGTTTATATGGCAAAGCAATACATCAGTTTTTTGGTGAATTCAGGCTCTCAGCCTCATCCTTTTTTATCTCCACTGTACAAGTGGACTGGACAGTGACTCCAGCACTTCACATGCACATTGCACCCCGTTCTGCAGACTCCTGTGTGCAAACAGCTCCTCACTCAGCTTGCAGGGGAACACCCAGCATGTCTCACAGCATCGTTCTGCACTGCAGCAGCACTTCACCTTGCAGGTTAGCAACAGGGAAAGCTCAAGCTGTATAAAGAGGGAGATCCTTTAAAAGGAAAATGTAAATGCACTTTCACCAAACTGAGAGTATTTATCTTGGCTGGAAATTTTTATTTAACTGAAAGTACATTCAGTTCACTTATTCCAGAATAAAGTATGAAAAAAATAAAGCCTAATTAATTAATATAGTGAATTATAACAGACCCAAAAAAAGCCTTCCTGTATCAATACACCATCCCTAGCACCACTCTTTTCCTCCTCTTCTTCCTTAGCCTTTTTATTCCAGGCCCTTATCTACATGTACACAAAGCCAAACTCAATACTTTTCTGTATATACTGGTCCTGTAATCAGATTCTCACATGGAACCTATCCTTTTATTAGCTCGGCTCTTCCATTTATTATTTGTGCAAATATTATTTGTGCATCCTGAAATGTCACCACCAGCCCTCCAGTACCACAGAGTAAGAAACTGGCCAGGATTAACCAATGGTGCATTAACCAGGCTTTCCCCTACACAGACTCAGAGCTGCTTAACCACACTGGAGGGTCTGGAAGTGCAATGCCCAGGGGTGAAGCAGCTTAAGTACTTGGCACCTGTGTTTTTGAGCTATGGGTTCTCTCCCCATTCTGTTCACAAGGCCTTTAATAAAGTTTTGAGTGAGTCAAGGATGAACACAAGACCTATGTGTCTGTATCATCCTATTTAGATTATCAGCTCCCAATATAAATTCATTATTTCTTGCACAAGCTGGCATTCACCAGTGAGACCTGAAGCACCACATTCTGCATTCTGTTCTGCATTCACACAACACACTTTGTCTGATGTTTGCTTGATAATTACCAATAATTAGTTCAGGAAACACAGTATGCTCCAGAAACAGGGGTTTTTATTTATTTGATGACTTCATATTCAGAATTTGCTCTTAGACAAACAATGAATTACCTATAGGCACTGGTTTTATGTGTAAGCCTCTGATCCATGTGCCTAAATAATGCTCTGTAGGCTGTATGAGGTGCCAAAGGTAATTCCAGCAACCCCTTATGCAAAGGGGGTGTGTCCCAAAAGGGTCCCCATCTCCCAGTCCTGCACCCCAAATACCTTATTTACACCTAAACACCTTTGCTGGGCCTATAATAGTCCCCTACCTTACTTAAACTTTTTATAGCACTTGGTAAATTTAATAAGTATATTTTCATTAGTCTCCAAGGGTTTCTTACTACAGCTTCCAACATGCAGTCCCCAATATTGCCTCAGCAGAAAAGAAAGCAACATGACTAAGGCAGAGTGGAAAGTAAGAACTGTGAATTTGGGTATCACACTTTTGAATCAATGCTGGGTACTTCTAAAGACTGGTTCGCTTAAAGTGCAGTTCAAATGAGAAAAGGAATGTATGAATGCATGTGAGTCATAGAATAAGGCACCATGGACAACCCCAGGCTAAGCCCTTGCTCATGAGAAAGGTTGAACTGATCCCAATAGGTGATTATAAAACTGACTTTTGGTGCCTATTAGTGATGGTTGATGGATTAATTCAAACTAGAAATATGGGTTAAGCACAGAGAAGCTTAATAAAAGAGACGTATTCTTATAACTGTGCAGAAGTCTGGGAGGATAGGGAATGTGAAGAGAGAATGTGCTCATGGATACAAAAGAATCAGGTGTTCAGAGTAAGGATTTTCCTCTTTCTGGTTCCAAAGTAACATGTAGTAAAGAGAATAAACATGGATCAGAAAGAGACATTGTAATGAGTTCTCTTTTTTTTTCTTTTCCCTTGAATTTTATCAAAGGTTCAGAACATCAATATGGAAAACTGTGTTGATGTCAATATAGAAACCAAGGGGGAAAGAATGCCAATGAAGCAAAATCCACTGAGCACAGGTGGGAAGAGTTTCTGCAGAGCTGTGGGTTACCTCACTGGAGACATGAAGGATTTTGGAACCTGGCTGAAAGGTAAATCTACTTCATTGTTACTAATGACAGCGGATTACAAAAAAAAAGCACATCAAAGGAGTAATAACTTACTTCTTAGTGATGTGATTCAAGTTAGAGGAGTATGGAAACTACCTCTACCCTGATTTACACCTGTTTTGTAGGGGAAAAAAATCACCTTTGTGCAGAGATCCACATAGTGCTTAAATCTTGAGGATATCTGAGATGACATTCACCTCCCAGCATGCCATGTACAAAGCAAATTTGGTCCCATAGAACATAGCCCTGGATGGTTATTCTGTACTCTGCCATTCTTCTTAACACTTCAAGTCCTTTCAGATGAGCAGTTTCTGTCAAGCCTAATGCCACTGTGAAGTTAAACTACACACAGGTAGGTGTGTTTGGTCCCTGTAATAAATCAGCAGTGGGACACACACATAATTCGACATCTGAGCCACAGACATCATAAATTAGCTAGTTCATATGAATCTGGTCCAGGGTACTTTATTACACAGGGTTCTGGCAACTTCACTGTTCATCTCAGTTTTCCAGCTGTAAGCCTTCACTGTGGACCATAATAAATCCCTGTCAGATTTTACAGTCTTGTTGATTCATTGCTTCAGTCATGGTGCCAAGTCCCACTGCCAAAACTTTTCCTGAGTTTCAAAAATACATCCCAAATCAGTACCATCTGCAGACTTTAGGGGGCTTGTTTTATTACTGAACTTGATCTTTTCCAGACAAACCTCTCATGGTCCAGCTCCTTGACTGGGTGCTGCGTGGGATATCCCAGGTGATGTTTGTCAACAATCCCCTCAGTGGGCTGGTCATTCTGGCCGGCCTCCTGCTGCAGAACCCATGGTGGACACTCACGGGATGTGTGGGAACAGTTGTCTCAACTTTAACAGCACTTATTCTGGGTCAGGACAGGTAAGTCCATCCTTTTCCCGCTCAGGGTAAGGTGACACTTCAGTGCTGACTTACGTGTTAGGTATTAGATGAGGATGAGAAGCCTAAATTTAGCGGGAGGTGTCCCTGCCCATGGCATAGGTTTGGAACAAGGTGGTCTCTAAGGTTCTTTCCAACCCAAACTTTATATGGTTGTGTGATCCAGCCTTGACTGGGGACATACCTGGTCTAGTAGGACCAGACAGATCCTCTCAGCAGCTGCACCTGGTGCAGAGGCACACTGGACAAACCTGCAGAAGGGGTAGGTGCTGACCCAAATGTGTGAAATCAAATTTCAGTGGACAAGTGCCAGCAGGTCATCCCCCAAACAGAGCCACAGCTGGGTGGGGAGGGAGGGCTGATGTGAACAAAGCATCCTCAGGGGAGGAGACTTCAGGACAGCTGTTCCCTCCACACAGATCAGCCATAGCAGCAGGCTTGTATGGATACAATGGGGTCTTGGTGGGACTGCTGATGGCTGTCTTCTCTGCTGATGGAGACTACAACTGGTGGCTCCTCCTGCCCGTGGCACTGGTGTCCATGACCTGGTAAGACAGATGGCTCCTCTGCTTCTCCTTCCAGCCCCAGAGTCCCCACACATGAGACTGAGCTGTTGCATTTCTATGTAGCCAGCAGTGGAAAGGGAACACAACATATGTATCGTTAGATCTGCGTTGTTATTTACACTTTTAAACTCAGATGAAGTCCAGAAACAAATAAAAATACCCACATAATCACAAGCAATCCCAGTGGGGAAAACAAAAATCAGTGGCTGATCATGTGTAATTCAATGTTCTGAATGTGAGTCATATGGCTGTGATGCATCAATTCATTTCTGTTTCAAGAGGAAAATTATTTTCACTATTTCCTACCATCATCAACCACAAGTGCTTCATCTATTTAAGTCACCATATAAAAATGTCATGCAAATTTACTTCCCCAAGTACAGAAGCTATTCAGTGGTCCCAAGACATGATGGTTGACACTAATCGAAACAAACAACTAGCAATATTTTACTCGTATATATGACACCATAATCCACTAGGTATTTGGCCAGCAAAAAATGTTGAAACCTGGTCTTTGACCCTAAAATGTCTAGTTGCAGACTGTTAAAACCACACATGTAATTTGTCTGTCTGAATTTCGTGTGGTGTTACAGTCACTTTAATGTCAGCTTTTACTGCTGATCAACAAGCTTGAGCAAGGGCACAGAGCCACATTCACAGCTCACAGTTCACTCAGACCCAGCATGGGTATCATAGTCTCAGTACACCTCAGGTGCTAAAAAGAAATAGTAAACCCTGAGATTGAGCTGCAGAATAACTCCATTAAAACAGTAGATTCTGTCTCCTTCACGTTTACCAAATTCATCATACATACTAACATAACATGACAGGAATCTGTACATTGATAATTGCCTTTGGAGGGGTAGGAAATTTATGGAGTGACCCTTTCTGTCTCTGATTTGATCAAGGAAATTAAACAGATAGAAAGAGGCAAAGAGGGTGTTTTTCTTTTTGTTTGGTTTGGGTTTTTTTGTTTGTTTTAAATAGATCAAATTTTCTGCAGCTGGGTTTATAGTTGGATGTGGTTCTGGTGTTATTTTTGCCCATCTTAAAGGCTTCTAGTGAGACCATTTTGTTCTTCTTTCAGCCCCATTTTCACCAGTGCTTTAAGTACCGTTTTCTCTAAGTGGGACCTGCCTGTTCTCACCTTGCCTTTCAACTTGGCCTTGACCCTCTACCTGGCTGCTTCAGGACCACACAGCCTCTTCTTCCCTACAACTGTCATTCATCCTGCAGCATCAACACCGAATGTCACCTGGGCAGAGGTTGAAATGACAATGGTAGGATGTCTTAAGGGTGACAGTCCCCTTCACTTACAATTAAAAATACTACAGACACTTATCATCTTCCTTTATAAACTCCTGTGGATTGGGTTGGATGGCACCTTAAATGACCATCTAGTCCCCTCTCCTGCAATAGACAGGGACATCTTCCACTATGCCAGGGTGCTGAGGCCCCATCCAGCCTGTCCTTGCACACTCCCAGGAATCCAGGAACAGCCACAGCTGTTCTGGGCACCCTGTGCCAGGGCCTGCCCACCCTCCCAGCCAGCAATTCCTTCCCAATATCCCATCTGTCCCTGCCCTCTGGCAGTGGAAGCCATTCCCTGTGTCCTGTCCCTCCCTGCCTTGTCCCCAGTCCCTCTGCAGCTCTCCTGGAGCCCCTTGAGGCCCTGGCAGGGGCTCTGAGCTCTCCCTGGAGCCTTCTCTTGTGCAGGTGAACAGCCCCAGCTCTGCCAGGCTGGCTCCAGAGCAGAGGGGCTCCAGCCCTGGCAGCTGCTCCGTGGCCTCCTCTGGAATGGCTCCAGCAGGTTCACCTCCTTTGTTACTGTATTATGGTCTGGCAGTACAAAATTTGATTTATAAGAGAATTATTATGCAAAATATAAGGGTTTACTCTAGGAATATACATTTTTGACAGCTTGAAAATGAGAACCTTTTCACGTGCAGTTGGATTGAAGTGTATAGATTAGAATCTTCAAATACTCTCTTTAATCCAATTACCCATTTCTCTTTAATATACTGATCATCTCCCCATAGGTAAGGTTGTGCTGAGAATTCCAGTTAACTCACAGGCTAATTTTATTTTTTCAGATATAAGCTGTTTATAAAATTACATCTTTCTGATTAGACATGAGCAAGCAGATATTACTGTGTTAGAATGGTTAAAAAGTTAGGTGCAGGTACACATTCACATATTTTTAATTTATATTCAAGTGGGGACCTTTCCAAAGGAACATTTTATTCTCCTGGATTACACCATAAACAATACAGATACCAGAGTAACTATTTTCTGCTAAGGCTCAGCAGAGTATTTTAAGGGATTCCCAGGGAGTGATTAAGAAAAGGAAGTTAATTGATACTAAATAAAACCCACAAGTTACATTTCTCACTGGTGGCACATACTTTTATGGAGACTGTATACAGAAAAGTGCCTCAAAACCATCTCTAAGCTGTGGTGATCAGGCTGGGCTCTGTCCCACCAGCCCAGCAAGTGTTGCTCATATTTCTAGTGGATCCCAACCATCCCCTAAGTTCACTCTCATGGTCCCTGTGGATATACAAAAATGGTCCAGTCAGCAGCACATGCAAAGAGGAAGGATGATTATACCCTTTCTCAAAATCTTTACCTTTGATCTTAGAGGAAAAACTTGGCAGAGGAGCTCAGGGCAAGGGAACAAGCCATGACTCATTTTCACTGAAGGGAAAACCCTGTCGAAATGCCGTGCTGTCTCCTGAGACCTCTCCAAATGTTCCACTTAAAAAGAAAGACTGCATCCAACAAATGCCAAATATGAGCCTGGCCAAGAAAAATAGGTTTAAAAACAAACAAACAAAAAGTTACAAAGTTGATAACAAATTGTCTTGTTTGGTTTGTTAATTTCTACAGCTTCTGAAATCCATTCCAGTCGGCGTGGGCCAGGTTTATGGTTGTGACAGTCCCTGGACTGGCGGAATTTTCCTGATTGGGTTATTTATCTCCTCTCCACTTATTTGTGTCCACACAGTGATCGGCTCAGCAGTGGGGATGCTGGCAGGTAATGGTTTGTGCTACAAAGTTATATAAAAGCATGGAGAATAAAACAGGTACTACAATAAGTGGAGCAATTAAAGCCACAAGTATTTCACACAATGGAGAATGGCTGTTTGGAAACAAAATCTACTTGAACTTCTGTTTTAAGAATTTTTTTGATTGGTTTCTTCATTCTCTTACCTTGTTTTATGACAGTAGAATCCTTCAGAAAAAACAAGTGTCTGTTGTGTTCATTTTTACCACAAAATACTTAATTTTTGGGTGTGTCCTGGTGGGTTTAGGGGCAGATCAATGGAAGTCATAGCCATCAGCCTGAAAGTGCAGGCCTCAGGGATTCATTTAAGGTACACATGTAGGTTCATTCACCCATACGTGTTCTGCTGGAGCCAAATTGCCAAAGTCAGCTCAGCAGCAACAGGAAAATTCTGCCATGACTCCCTTAGACCCTTAGACCTTAGCAACATGACTACAAACAGCTCCATGTACAAATGCTGGCTAGAACCTTTGAAAATCTGGATTTGTGCCACTTCTCCACCACTTTTATCTCTTTGGCCAAGGAATGACACATTTCTCTGACTTTATTTTCCAGGGCTGAGCTTAGCAAAGCCATTTAACCAAATCTACTCGGGGCTGTGGGGTTACAACAGCTCCCTGTCCTGCGCTGCCATCGGGGGCATGTTCTTGGCTCTCACCTGGCAGACACACCTCCTGGCCATGGCCTGCGGTAGGTACCTGGTGGGTTTTCACCTCCCCTGGAGGTGAGACAGGATGCCTTTGCAGCAGAGGAGGCGAGGAGACAGATGGGCACTCGGGGCAGGCAGATGGGTGTAGGTGAGGCTGACTAGTGGTAGAGCTGTGTGTTGGAGCCACGGCTTTAACTCACTCTGTGCTTTCATTTTTGGCCAAGAGCTGTGTTTAGAGAAAGAGCTGTGATCAGTAGACACACGTGTTAACTGAGGTCTTTGAAATCAAATACTTTGTTTTGAGACATTGTGTTTGATAGCTAATTGCTGGATGAATCATGCGGGGTTTTTTCTAGCCATAGATACCAGCTCAAATTCCTTCTTTGAAGGACATGCCTAATCTTTGGGAAGAGTGGAACTCTACTCTAGTTAGACAGTACACATTCCCCATTCTCCTGAAATGGATTAAAGGCATGAGCTGGGCAACATAGCAGGATTGAAGAATTATTTATAAGGCAATTCCATGTGAAATTTCAATATCAGAGCAAGCTGGGAGTGAAACTATTGCTCATTCAGTGCTCATACAGCTCTGTATGTCACCTTCCTGCCCTGAAGCCAGGACAGATGAGAGTAGGGAAGGTTATTTTCTTATTTAACCCTATCCATCAAGCTACATACTTTGTATGTCAGTGTGTTTTTCAAAAGCTGTGATGCCACACCACATTTTTTGTCACTCCAGGTTGGTTGGTTGGTTGGTTGGTTGGTTGGTTTGTTTTGCCCCTCTCATAATCTCCAGGCTGGAGGGGACACAGGAAGGTGTTCAGCAGGGTACTGCTCAGACAGGGTCATAATCATTTGTTGAGCTATCCAAGCCAGAAGGAGAGATGTTTGTCATTGCTGTTCTACTCCATGAACAACTGAACTCACCAGGAACTGTCTTCCTTTTCCACAGCACTCTTCAGTGCCTACCTGGGAGCAGCAGTGACCCACATGTTGTCTGTGGTAAGTAGTTTATCAACTAAGGGCTGATTTCCAATGCTGAATTTCTCTGGCTTGTCAGGCAAAACACCAAGATGTGGAGAAAAATTCAGCCGAAGGCAGAAATGGTCTGGGAGAGGGATTACTATCTGCCCAGGTGGTTGGTGTGATTCCCACTGGAACAGGTGACCTAGAATTATCACTTGCCACTTTCCATCCTCAGTTTGCTTGAACTTCCACAGCGCAGCTCTAGACACTTATGAGATCACAGAATCATGGAATGGTTTGGGTTGAAAGGTACCTTAAAACTCATTGAGTTCCACCCCCTGCTATGGGCGGGGAAACCTTCCACTGTCCCAGGTTGCTCCAAGCCCCACCTATTTTTGAACACTTCCAGGAATAGGGCAGCCACAGCTTCTCTGAGCAACCTGGGTTGCCAGGGCCTCACCACCCTCACAAGGAAGAATTTCTTGCCCATATCCAATCTAACCCTAAGGGGGAAAGCCATTCCCCCTTATTCTGTCTAGGCCCTTGCCCAAAGTGCCTCTCCAGCACTTCTGGACTTGCTTTAGGCACCAGCAGGCTGCCCCTCTTTCAGATATTTACTTCATGCCTGAAGCAATTGGGAAAAGGGCCCTGCATGTGTGCAAAAAAACCATTAGATTCAGGTTAATTTATTTTCTCAGTTGCTGGAAGTCAGTCAGTACCACAGCCCAGGGAAGAGATTAATGTTTCTGGTATCAGCTCTCCTGTATCATTGTCACCCTCTCCTAACTCATGTCCAAGAAACCTTCCCCATGACAGATGAGGTAAATCTGTCACCAGAGCTGGTAGATGTTGTAGGCTGATGCACAATGTCAAGACATCATAAACCCAGCCTCAGTCAGGAAAGACTCAATGCAAAACCAAGTCTAGACTTCTTCCAGAAATGTTGTTGCAAGGCAGCTGGCTCTGTGTGTTACTCTAATAAAATAAAGACATGTAGTAAATAGGTGGTTTGTTATTATTCTTTGCAGTTTGGGGTGCCATCTGGAACCTGGTCTTTTTGCTTGTCTGCACTGACCTTCCTGCTGATGACCACAAGCCATTCTGCGATCTGCAGGCTGCCGCTCTCCAAAGTCACCTACCCAGAAGCCAACCGAGCTTATTATCTGATGATGAAGAAACATGAGAGGTCTTGCTATGAGGCATAGAGATCTAAGAAGAGAGAAACTCATCAGATCTTAAGGCAAGAGCATGAGGTGTTTGCCCAACAGACTGTGATTTGTGTGCTACAATGTCCAACACCACCACCCTCTGTGTGGACAGACTTTTCCCATCACATGTGCTTGTTCTATTAACAAGATTTCTATTAGGTAGGACTGGGCTGTGCTGGAAGGACTTTTCCCAAGATCAACCTATTATGATTTTAAAGCACACATCTGAAATGACACTTGAATTATAAGCAATGGGAAAATGACTTGCAAGCTGAAAAGAAAAATCTCTATGAAATTGAAGATGCCGAAATCACACATAAAGAAATAAAGAGCATCTTTCAGCATATAAAAGAACTTTAAATTAATGGCTAAACATCTTATGACAGCAAGACGAGGCATCTTAGAGAGTTTCATTGTACCATAAAATTGAATAAAGAGCACTCCTTGCCAAATAGAAAATAGGTTGTGAAGAATTCTACCTGAAGGACCTCCCAAACCCCGTGGAGAGAGATGTTCATTAGCAATCAACAAACATAAAACAGACTTGATTTTGGTGATTTTTGAGTTAATCTCATGATTTCTTTTAATATTCGAATTTGGTGATGGGCTAGCAAAGGAGGGGACATCAAGAAAGTCATTGCTGTCCCTTTCCTATGCAATAAAATGGCTCTGTTCAGTCAATGCACAAAAATAGAACTAAATTGAACTGATCTTCTGGACTTCTCTCCCTCCACTCAGCTCAGGAATATCAAACAGCAAAATGTTGCACTGTCCCAGCTTGCTGCTGAAGCTCAGGAGGCTCAGAGGGAACCTTCTGGCTCTGCGCGACTCTTGACAGGAGGGGACAGCCAGGGGACAACTTCAAGGGAGCAGGGAGAGGAGGAGAGGAACTGGCCTCAAATTGTGCCAGGGGAGGTTTCAATTGGATTGGGTTATTGGGGATAATCTCTTCACATAAATGGCTATCAAGCCTAGGAACAAGCTGTTTGGGGCAGCAGTGGCATCCCCATCCCTGGAGGGTTTTAAAGGCCTTGTGGGTGTGACACATGGGGACATGGGACATGGGTCAGTGGCAACAATTCCATGATTCTGTGAAGCTGCTGCTCTGCCATTCCTCTCTGCCCCACAGTGGGAATGGGACATTTGAGGACCCTTCCATTTTGGCAGTCCAGCAGAGCTCTGCAGGACACCAGCCATGTGCCACCTCTGCCCAGGCTCCCAGGGTGTGCAGGCAGGGAAGAGGGAAGCAGTCCTTGCACTCAGCATTGTGGGTGACCTCAACAGGCATTGACTCAGCCCCTCAACCTTTCAGCCTGGCTCACTGACATACTCTGTCTCATGTAGAAGCTCATATCTTCACTGAAACTATTCCATGTGCTCAAGTTCTTCAGCTGACAGAGCCTACATGCATTAACGTCACACCAGGAAAAGCAAATCAAAACCTGTTTTCCATGTAGTAGATGAAATAAAATCAAGCATGAGTTTGGTGTTCGGAATGGGGGAAAAAAAACCCAAACCAGGTATTTTTGCAAAAATCACAAAGGCCTGACTGTAAAACATTTGTGATGAACTGTTGGCAGTATCTTCTGGTGAAGTTTTAGGTTTTCAGATGTTCAACAGGATTTCTGTATGACTGATACTCACTTGTAAAATGTAGCATTTCCATGATTTACTTAATAAATAGCCACATAATGTTCTGTGGAGTTAATTTCTAAAACAAACATACATACTTTTTCGAGTTTGCTTTAAGTTTCTCTCTCTTTATTATCATTAAGTTCTTCCAAAGGTAGGTTACCTCTTAAACAAGTAGTGTAGAAGACACTGGAAAATAAAACTTCTAAATCAGTGTGTGTAGAATACATAGGAAACTTTTAAAATCTGTTATTTGTGCTTATCACACAATCACAGAATCACAAAATTGTTTGGGTTAAAGGGCCCTTATTCTATCGCCCCTGCCATGGGCAGGACACCTTCCATTGTCCCAGGTTCTCAAGCCCCATCCATCCTGGCCTTGGACACTCCCAGGGATCCAGGGACAGCCACAGCTGCTCTGGGCACCCTGTGCCAGGGCCTGCCCACCCTCCCAGCCAGCAATTCCTTCCCAATATCCCATCTGTCCCTGCCCTCTGGGACAGATTCCCAGAGGGAATCTGGGAATTCCACTGATTCCCCCTGCCACCCAAGACTTAGCCAGAATCCTCCTCCAGCTCTCCTGGAGCCATTTTAGGCACTCAAAGGAGCTCTAAGTCCTCCTCAGAGCCTTCTCCAGTATGAACAGCTCCAGGTCTCTCAGTCCTTTTGCATCAAACCTCCATAAACCTGCAAGTGCAAAGCCTGGTAATACACAGGAGGCACAATCACCCCAAGGGACAGCACTGGGTCAACAGAGCTCTAGTCAGAGCTACAGAAACCTCCTCAAGACCAGGCAGTGGTTCATTCCTAGAGGAGATGCTGGACAGACCCCCAGACTGGGGTTAGATGAGGCCATGTTTTGTCTAGAATATTCCTGGAGCAGGCACAGAGGGCTGTGGAGATGCCCTGGGGTTTGGAGTTCCTCTGCTTTGGAGCCAGGATGGGAGAGCTGGAGGTGCTCACCTGGAGAAGAGAAGGCTCTAGGGAGATTATTTTGTGGCTTCTCAGTATTCGTAGATTTCTTTAAGAAAAATGTAGACAAACTTTAAATCAGGGCCCGTTGCAATGGGAAATGGGTTCATGGTTTTAAACTAAAAGTGAATCAATTCTGACCAAATTAAAAGAAATTTTTAATGGGTAGGGTGGTGAGACACTGGCTCACTGCCCAGACATATGGTAGATGTTCCATCCCTGGAAAAAGTCAAGGTCCACTTGGACAGGTCTCTGAGCCATTTGGTGCAGTAGAAGTTCCTGCCCATTGCAGGGGGTTGGACTGATGATATTCAGGTGCCCAACACAACCCAAACCATTCTCTGGTTCTGTGATTTACCAAACTGTAGTGTAAAAGGGAATTTTAATGTCTGAACTGGGATCTCCCCACCTGGGACCAAAAGTGCCCCAGAGAGGCAAACCAACAGAAGTTGCTTTTACCCTGATGTCAAAATATGCACTCGAGCAAGAGAACACAGTTTATGTCCAGTGTAAATCAGCAGATTTCCTCTGACTGGTGCTATTCCAGCCTGCTGTTGCTGAGCAACAGGGACATTTTGGCAGTACCATAAAGAAATCATACACACAGAACTGAAAAACAACAAAAGATGAAGGCTATGTCCCAGTCATTTTGAAAGATTTTACACATCATTCAGAATTAATTCTACATTTTACATTATCCAGAGAATTTATTCTTCCCATCACCAAATAGCAAATAAGAGCAATTTGGAAATTTGACATGTAAGTCAGTCAGAACATACATATTATGCTTTTTCCCATTATTGTTCAAAACACTGTCTTCGCTAACAGAACTAATTTATCTTATTACTGAAACTGGGTTTTTTGGCAGGTTTTCTTTCTTTTTTTTTTTCTTTTTCTATTTTTTTTTTTGTCTTTATATCAGATAAATACTATTCAGGTCACCCTTCTTTTTCAAGCATTCTTTTTTCAGTGTTGTCTCTGATACCCAAGTGATACCAGTGAAACACAGTGGGCAGAAATGTTGGGGTATTCCCCTGGACTATCTCCCTCCCAGTGCCAGCAAAGAGATGTCATTGTGTACAGTTCTGAAAAGAAATACATATATAAATAAAATAAATAAATACAAATAAAAGTAATTCACTGGGGGAGATTTAATAAAAAAAAAAAAAAAAACCAAACATAAAAAAAAAAGTAAAGTTTTATTAAAAAAAAAAAAAAAAAAAAAAAACATAACTACTGGGAAACATCTGCTGGAAGTCACATTTTATCCAAAAGTCTAACTCAAATGAACTGCCTGACACACTCCTAAGCTGCTTTCATTGATGATGTCTCATGTGCACAATTATCCCCAAGGCTCCCAGTTTCATGTCAAGTGCTCAAATCTGGGGAAATGCAACAATGCAACATCCTTTATCTGATCCTCCAGGACTGTAGCAGGTTTTGTTTGGTTTTCTGAGCTGCACATGAAATATAAACTGTATAAAGAATGCTGGTGTTGATAATTATCTAATCTTTTGAATCTTGACACAAAGTGAGAATGAATTGACACAGAATTTGGCTATAGCTGGGCATAATTCACCTGCTAAGAAAGATGCTACCCATGAGGAAGGAGGACTGTGCATTGAAAAGATTATTCTTGATTATTTCCTGATTGTTTCCCTCTTCCCTCATTCACTGTATGACAGGTGAATTGTTAGGCACAAATTAGCACCTTTCTGAAGTTTCCCTTTGTCTTGCCATGGAAAACTGCCTTCAGGTAGAAAGGCCCATTTTGTTACCAGTAACTGAGCTTTTTCTGGATTTGGAATGAGTGAGGAAACTGTACAACTCTCAAAGCAAATACACTTCAATAACTTAGGGCCATCACTCTCCATCTTCTCAGAGGCACAGACAGACCATGCAATTGACTTTACATATGTTGAAACAGAAACTGTTTAAACAGGAGTTGGAGGCCTTCATATTTCAGGGATGTGGGTCAGAAGGATCATTTTAGCTCCCCAAAGGTGCTTTATTTGCAAAGGGGCTGTGAAGGATGAATTACTTACCTTGAGGCTGAGGCACCCTGACTTGCTGTTACCCTCCAGTGCATAGCAGAATCATAGAATAGAATCACAGAATGTCAAGGTTGAAAAATATCAAGTTCCCCCTAGCACTGCCAAGGCCGCCGCTGGCCCCTGTCCCCAGGTTCCACATCCACATAGCTTTTAAATCCCTCCAAACATGGAGTCTCCCACCACTGCTCTGGGCAGGACCAGCCAGGGCTGGACAACCCTTTGAGTGAAGAAATTTTTCTGTGGGAGCCCAGGGCAAGGGGAATATCTCCCTGTCTGACCTGGGGTACTCTGACTCCCAGGAAAGCACTGACTTTGACCTTCATTCATGGAGAAAGCCTCCAAAGCTTCAAAGTAAACTGGAAACCATAAAAGTGTGAAATAGATTGTAGAGAGTAGTTTAGTATGTCACGTGGGTCAGTTTAGGTTTTAGGATTTTTAGCATACTGTAGATGGGTACAAGACGGAGGGTACAGGGTGTTGTCTCAAGTTCCTTTCTTCTTTATTCTTCTTCCTTCTTCTTCCTTCTTCTTCTTAGGTTTGGGTGATATGTTGTAATTGGGTAGAAAAATCCACATTGCAGGTCTCTAGGGGTCAGTTATTGGGTTAGAAAGGGAAATAATCTAGATGTCACTTCTTAATTGGATAGTTTCGTTTTTTATTAGACTTAAAAGGCCTTGCAACATGAGGTCATTAGCCATTTTTTGTGCTGTTTTCCTTCATGCAATATCTCTGTGAAAGAATTCTGACTTCTCCACCCCACTCAACATTTCAAATCCACTAATCCTTGACATTCTTTAGCTG